ACACACACACACACACACACACACACACACACACACACAGCTGACAGAGCATTTTCAGACATCCACAAACACCAGCACACTGACTCAGACGGCCCAAGGGTGTAAAGAATGTCCACACGTCACTGTGGGGATTTTCTTCCCAGCCTAATGTTCCAGTTTGTTTTACTCAAACCACAGAAACCAGAAAAGCCATTAAGACTGCCTTGTTTTTTCCTATCAATGTATGAGATGCCAGAAGCTGATGTAAAACGCAATAAAATTCACTTACAGAAAGCTTGTGAGATGCTTCTAATGTCATTTAAAAAAAACGTTTTATTAGGGCTGAGACAGCACTTTGTGTTAGTCCAGCAAAAGATTATTGTTTACATAAACTGTAATAAACATGATACAGAAGATGAAATGAAATGTAACAGTTCCAGAAATAAATTGTTTCATTTGTTTTCATTCTGGTTACCTTGCAGAGCTCTACTTTGTTCATAGCTTCATCCACCTCCTCTTTGAGCAGGTCAGCCTTGGCTGTCAGTGCTTGAGTGTTTGTTCCTGAGATTATTGATTTGGTCGCCTGCAACCACCTGGAAAAGGAAAAGAAAAGAAAAGAAAAGAATACTTTAACAAAATCTGGTAAAAGTAGTACAACAACATCAGCCCAGCTGAAATAAAAGAGTGAAATAGTTGAAGTTATTTGAAGACAAACCTGGCTCTGGCAGAATCATAGTCCAGCACCAACTTGGCCAGTTGTTTCCTCTGCTTCAGGATGTTGGGAATCTCTACCTACAACAGCCATCCAAAAGAAACAAAACAAGTAAAGAAATGAGTAATAATTTGAAATTGATAACAGCTGATTCAGAAATGTAGGATTTTTGCTCTTGCTGTGTCAGCATTCACTTTTTTTCTATTTGTTATTTAGCTGTGTGTTTTTATTTGTGCATACTTTGTGTATTTCTTAGCCAATCACACATCAGAAAGTACGTCTCATTAAGGAGACGGGTATTCTGACTTTTGGTTTTTGTAACTTTTGTGCTTTCCTAAGTAATAAACTTTGCTTACAAGTATTTTCCCCAAAAGAAAAACTTTGCTCTCTTGGAAATCTGCTCAAAATTCTTGTGCTATTTGTGTCTTATGTTATTTTTTTGTTTTTTAACTACTATTTTTTCTACTTTAAGCTAGACTTAAAATATTTTAGCTGCTTGCTAGTCTTTTGCATCTTTTTATTTTAGTTAGCCTTTTGCTACTTTTAGCCTTTTTGTACTCTGAGCTAGCTTTTCACTACTTTTAGCTTTTAGACAGTATTTTACTACCTTAGCTTTTAGCCAGCTTCTTGATATTTTTAGCTAGATATTTGTAGTCTTTTGCAACCTTTTGTTTCTAGCTAGGCTTTTGCTTTAAGCTAGCTTTTTGCTACATTTTGTTTTTAACTAATCTTTTTCTTCTTTTAGCTTTTAACTAGCTTTTTGCTACTTTAGCTTTTAGCTCACCTTTTGCAATAGGCTGAGAGGAAAACTATGTCATAAAAACTGATTCCAGCAGGTTTAGCCCCAAAGCTCGTGTTCTAATAAACTAGGCAGCATAAACCCAAAATATATCATTTTCTATTGTGATTTATACCAATACAGAGATTTTGAGACATTTCAAACCTGGAAAATGAAATCTATAAAGTTAACAAAGTATGTCTGACCTCTGCAAGCTGGCTAAGTGGGTCCAGCACATCTTTCTCTATCTGGAGCTCGTGCTGCATCAGTTCTGATGCCAGACGATTCTCAGCCTCTCCACAAACTTCCATCATCTTCCTGTTGACGTCACATCAGAACCACAGATCAATCACTCATCTTCTCAGCAATATATAACGCAACACAATCTGTAAGATCAGCTCATCCTCTGAGACAAATCAATAGATGGAAGAAAAATCAGGTCAGTGTAAGGTCATGAAAAAGTAAACCAGACCCAGGAGCTCTGTGACAGTTTGATCTACAGTCAGGAGTTAGGGTGTGTGGTATGGGATAAATCTTGTGCCAGCAGGAATTGAATTTGAATTACTGAATTTGAAATTGCATGCATTGGTTTGAAAATGAATTTTACTAAATTGAAACCGAATTTAAAGTTTAGAATTTGAATTAATTTGCTTCGAAACTGTATTTTGGTCTATTAAAAATTCAGTTTGTCTACTTTCACCTTCAGTTCAATAATTTCATTTCGGTTCTAAATTTCAGATTTTTGTGCCGCACATCCGGGTCCTTGAGAAAGCCAGCCAGAGTAATCGAACACAGATCTACAGATTTATGTTTCACGTCAGTGAAGCTTCCTTCTATAATGTAACAGAGTTGATGCAATCCACCGTAAGTGACAAAAAACAGTTATTTTATTGCAGTGATTAATTTTGCCTATAGATAACGTTACATTTACGTCTCGTCATGGATCAGTCAGCAGCAGGTGATCTGTCTGCAGCTGAGAACCATGTTATGAGAGGACTGATCCGCCTGTCAGTGCTTGGGACCAGGAAGGAGCTCATAGCAGAACCTGCAGAAGTGAAAGTGAAGGTAGACAAACTGAATTTTTAATAGACCAAAAATACAGTTTCAAAGCAAATTAATTCTATTTCTAAACTTTAAATTCAGTTTCAAACCAATGCATTCAATTTCAAATTCAGAAATTCAAATTCAATTCCTGCTGGCACAAGATTTATCCTATAGTGTGGTCACATGTTTTGCAGAAATTCAATCATCAATTTGTAAACCAGGTAACAGCATGTTCAATTAAAGACCTAGCATTCTTGAAAGGATTTCTTCCCCATCGCCTTTCAATTAAGAGTTTTAGACTGAGATCGTCTTATGACGCTGTTATACTGAATTTGGTTAAACCCTGAAAACAACATATCTCACATGATCAGTTAACACTTGGAGTATATGATGGGTATGACTCTCAGCTACTCTCACAATAAACTTTAACTCCATTTCTGTCAGATTCACTGAGGTAACATTTGATTGGCTGTGGAAGATATCTTGAACTGGGTTAAAGATAGCTTCCACAGCTAAGTTAATCAGTTCTAGATGTGCATGCAACGGTTACTTTCCGAAAGTTTCTGCTCAGTACTCCATGAGATACTTTTTTTAACAAACACAGACAAAAACATTATCATTCGCTTTGGCCTTACATGAATGAAAAACATGAACAACCAGAGTAACTGCTGTTTCTTTCCAGACAAGCAAACGCCTGCAGTCAAGAACCGGAGATATTCACTTTCTGGATCCTAAACTTCTGTTTTTCTCTCCCCCTGATGAGGGGAACTGCTAAAAGTCCCTAACAGGAAAAAAACTGCGCAGCTTTTTTGTTCTGAGTGTACGGCCTCATATTTCACCCTCCAGGGTGCTTCTTGCTCTATATAGCAACTGTTGTCAGGATGGTGTGATTGGATGTCTGGTGTGTCCATCAATCAAACACTCACCCTATCAAGGAGTCCTCTCCCAGCTGGTTTCCACCCTCCACCATTGCCTGGGACAGTGAAGTGAGAGGAAGCTTTTTCTGTGAAGGAGGAACAGATAGAAATGGAGATTAGACTTATTTATACACACAAAAGCTGCAGAGAACAGAAGTTTTAACATTTTATGATGAAGCCAATGGAAAATTCATCAAGAGGTTTCCATTGAACAGGTCAATAAATTTAGTCAGAAAGAGGAAGAGAACCTTTGGAGCAAAGGAGGAAAATACAGATGGTAAATGGGATTGAAGAAGTAAAACATCCATCAAACACCGAGGTTGGAAATCACTTTAAGAGTTTATGTTTGTGTAAAAACACCACTGTGTGCCGAACGTCCTGTTTTGGTCCAGAAAAACCCACAAGGTAAAAAAAAAAGTGTCATGCATGGTAAAGAGATGCTGAAATGGAAAATAGAGTGACTTTCTCTGAGGACAAAGACAAGCTGAGAGTTTTTACCTGACCATTTCCTGTATAGAGGCGTGGAACGGACTGTAGCACATTGTAGGGCGATAAAGGGTTGAAAAAAAATGACAAAAAGAGTCATCATGGAATGTTCTGATTACTATACAAACTTAAGTCATTCGTCACAGTTATCCGTACTAACAACTACAATACGAGAAAGGATCCATAATTTACTCAAAATTAGAATTAACTAATTCAATTAGCTGGTTTTAACCAAAGAAATAATTTACTGTAAGATTACTTACATGTCTCTTCTCTGCATCTGCACCAATGTGCCCCTGTAGACATGACACCATCTTTTTGTGTGTGTTGTGGGACACCACACGCACCAGCTCCATGCGCCGCTCAATCTGTACACAGGACAAAAACACCATATTTACTGTGGAGATACAAAAAAGTTTAATGTAATTCTATAAAAATGTAAAGAAAAAAGCACTGTGGTGTATGTTCTACTGCAAGAACAAAAAAAAAAACTAGAAATTTCAGATGAAATATTGCATCAAAGCAGCTGCTGTCCAAACATTCAACATTACTTTGTTGTATAAACCATATGACACGGTATGAGGGTAAGGAGAACCAACGTTACAAGAACGCATCAGTTGCTGCCAGTGGCTCATAATGGTCACAATGGTAACCACCAGAGTTGTAAAGCAACTAAGTACAAACACTTGTTACTGTACTTAAGTAGAATTTTTGGGTATCTGTACTTTTTTTGAGTATTTATTGTTCAGCCTACTTTTTACTTCTACTTCTTACACTTTCACACAATTATCTGTACTTTCTACTCCTTTCTAGAAGTAGAAAGAGGTTAATTTTATTTCATTTTTGCTTGTTTTCATGCCAGCTTGTTCTTGTAAAAAATAAATACTATTCATTTAAATTGTGCCTCCTAGATAGAGTGAATGAGATGTGGTTGAATGAGAAGTATAAATAAATAAAACTCTTATACCGTATTAGTTTGTACACAAACAAATCATGTCACACTCCAGAAGGACATAATCATTAAAATAAAAGGACTGTACTTAAGAAGTATTTGTATTTCATGAATTATATTATTGCATTTGGCCGCAGCCCTCAGATAGATTTTTATTTTGGGGAAAAGGTTTGGGCAGCCTTGATAAACTGAAACAGCTAGTGCATCCTAAATTTAACAGAAATTCATTATTTTAATACAATATAGTCATTTCTGCATTTTTTTGGGGGAGGTCACCTCCTAATAAATGTCATTACGTAAAATCTAACTGCTCATTTTAAATCAGTACTTTTACTTTTAATACTTAAGTACAAAAAATATCAGATATTTTAAGACTTTTACTCATTCCTAAAGAAGACTTTAACTTTTACCAAAGTAACTTTTTTGGTAAGATACTTGTACCTTTACTCAAGTATCACTTTGTGGTACTTTATACAACACTGGTAACCACACAGCTGTGTCTGTCTCTCCCAGACTGACAACTTAATAAAAGGCAGACAGAAACACAGTCTGGAAAGTAAGCCTAGAAGTCAGCTCTTAAAGTTTTTTTAACTAAATGGCAGAAGAGTGATGGTCACACATCTGAGGGTTTTTTATGGCTCTACAGTGTTTCATGTAGGAAAAATAACCAGATAAAAAGACACTTTATTTCAGCTTTGAAGAGCAAGTTTTAAGCTGAACTATAACCAAATCTGTGGAAGCTTAGCTGTGTATTCGCTGCATGCTGGGGAGATTTGAGAGAAAACCACAAGTCCTATGGCAGTGAGACAACGTAAATGCATAAATTGTTATGTAAATTTGTAGCAAAAATTGTTGTGAGATGAGGTTTCTTTAAAATTTGAATCTTTTGAAGACTCCTTAAAAAGTTAGTGTGAATTAACGATCCATTAAACATTTAATAGAAAAATATGTTAAATCAAAGAACTTATGAAAATGTTTTGTATAAAAACCATACAATATATTGATGATGGATGGATGGATGGATGGATGGATGGATGGATTGATTAAACACTGTTTCTACAGATCACGTCTGAGCTAAAGAGCTTCAAAGAGGGCTAGGTTTTTTTCACGTTTCACCAAAATCCCACTGATTTTTTCCTGCAGATTTTTGTGTATTCCCTTTATGATATGCACTCACTGCTATCTTGATATCACTGCTAAAGTCAAAACAAGCAATTCAAGATCAAGCTGTATGGTTTGATGTATAATTTGCATTTTTCTCCCCAAATCAAGATAAACAACAAAATAGTCCATTAACAGAATAGTAAACTGTGTTTCTGCACAGATTACGGCTGATGTGATTCCCTTCTGTGCACTCGTTTGATTTGTGGTGGTCTCATGGAGGTCAGCGGTCAAAATTTAACCATGATTGATAAGGTTTTGTCCCTGCAGACCATTGCTGGAATGTTATCTGAAAAACACATGACTCATCGGAAGTGTCCTTATAGCAACAGCCGCTGAGCTGCGACCAAGAGCAAAGAGGTTCTTTGGCTTTTAAATAAAAGGCCTTTTTGACTGCACAGACATTCTCCTGTCTTCTATCCCAACTACACAGGTCCACTCTGTGCTTTTAGGCTAACAAGACATAATACGGTCATTGACTTGAAGTCTTTGCCATTCGTGCAAAAAAGACAGAGGTCACTGAAGCTCTGCAAAAGGAGTATACACTGTCCTTCTCATGCCAGGTGTATAACCAGGACAGTCAACAAGCTAACATTTGGCTAACTGTCAATACTGAATATAAAGAACGTGTGATTTTGCTACTTTCAAGCCTACTTAAAAGTCTGGCCAGTATACACTGACTAAACCAAGAACAGGTTTAAAGGTTGCAACACTGAAATAAAAGTTTGCATCACTTAGCATTAAGAAAGACAAGCTAGGAAGTCTATAAATATTTCAACCAAACAATGCTCCAAATATAAAAGTCAACACTGAGGTTCAGAAGGGAAACTTTGATTGATTAAATCAAATGTAGAGGGAGGATCAACTAAATACCAGACAATTGTTTTCCAAAAACAGAAAGAGTCGGAACTCAGGAATTCCACCGCAGATATCCGCCCTACACCCCCATCCCCTTTTCTTTCCCTCACTCTGGTCTTGCACTTTTTTACGTCATTCCTGACCTACAGTGGCCCTCGGCATTCCCAAAACAGCTGGGATGTTCACCAGTTTACCAGAAAGACACTCAAACATGCACATACACAAACATCCACGGGTTTTAGACTGGGGGGAAGGGGGCACTAATCAAACTTTGTCCACTGGATGCCAGGCACAATACCATCCAAAGGATTCCAATGTCTGTGCTCTGACAAAGATCCGGTGTCGATGTATGTTTGGATAACATGGCAGGATTCTTCTTCCTTTCATTGTAACAATAAAAGGCTTAGATACAACCTGACACAGCTAAAGAATAGCATCTCAATGGAGTGTGAAAACCAAGGCCAAAAAACAACAGGGTGTGTTTTTCTTCATGCTTTGGGATGAGGTTAACTTCTGGCTAGAACACGTCACAGGACAGGGAATCCCAATAAGTTGAGGGGGGAAAAAGGAGGACTGAGTTTGTCCATTGGTTTCTAAATAAAACAAGTCTGGACAAGTCCTGAAAGAACAAACAACAGAACTAATTCAGCTCTGTCTAATAAAGCAAACAAAATATATTTGCAGGATATAAACAGGGGTGGACATAAGGAAATTTCTCAGGTTGTCCAGCAAACAACCTTTTAACAAAATCTGGTTGTCTGCCAAAAGTTTTAGTTGTTCTTTACAAAAAATGACAAAAAAAATCTTAAGAAAATGTACTTTAATAAGTATATTGTTCTGTATAAATACAAATGTTTCAGGGGCTGCTTGAGTATAACTTCCTCGATCTCATCTTCTTCTTTGTCACATATTTTGAAATAGAGGTACTTAAGAGGTATTTAAGACTCTGGGATTAAAGCAGCAAAAAATATTTTGCCTAAAGTTATTGTACACCTAGATGTTACCTAAGCATTGCCCTCCACCATCACCCAGTACCACACATTCATGAGCTTCTTCCTGCATAAAAGGTCAAAGTTTTTCTCTTAAATACTGTGTACATGACCTTAGTAAAAGTACACAGTTTATTGTTCTCGAATGAAATGTGTAAGTTGTATAAAGACTTAACATTTACATTTTCAAGACTGATGGTATTCTGAAGGAAGAGAGGGTTTTAAACAGCTTTTCTCTAATTTACTTTTGTGTCATTTTTGTGATTTTAACTGAAATGTCTGATATATTCATTTTTTAAATCCCAGCACAAGAAGTTACTTGCACAGAATAAATTAATTTATTTTTACTGTATTTTTTTAAAACCAAATTGCCTGACCACTGATTTCTACTCTAAAATTATTATTTAATTTAAAGGGATTATATTTACATGTATCTCATGTAGTCGTTTATTACAATTTATTTTTCATATTTTACTGAATTACATTTAGAACAGTAGCTACCTCTCAGTATGGTTCTAAATAAGTTTAGCACAAAACAGCCACAACACCTTGTTGTTGCTAAAACACCTTGTAGAATTAAATTTAGCTGGTATTTAAGATAAACACCTGAAACTGACTCACAGAGAAAGGGAAGATTAAAGTCAAAAGCAGACATGTCTGTGTTATAACCTTAGGCATATAATTATCCATCTTTAATATTATTATAGCGTTAATCCTGTTTAATTACAATAACTAAAGCGCACTCCTGCGTCTGTGCTGCTCCTTTGAGAATTAGGAGTTCATGTACTAGTTGCATGTGTCTGTAAGATAACGCTCCAAACAAAATCTATTTTAAACCAGAAACACTCGTGGAGCACAAACCTCCGCCAAGGCTGTATGTTTGTGTATGAGTGTGTGTATGTTTGTTTTGTGTGTGTTTTATTACATTTAATCATATGTATGTTTGTGTACAAGTGCTTTACAATGACCAAATATGTAATAAATTACATTCAACAGAAGGAGTGGAACAGCATCAGAAAAAAGAAAAACATTTAGCCATAAAAAACAGAATAAACATAATTGTTTAAGAAAACCTTAGCGTTATCTATGGGATAATAGACCTAAACGGGGGTGGTGATACAGGTGGAGGAAAAAAACTCCAAAAACGTAAACAAAAAATACAAAATTGTTAGGACGCGCAGGTATTTTGAAAATGATCTGTTGTTACATTAAAGTAACTTCAAACAGTAAGTTTTTCGATTTAAATACAATTCGGTCTAAAGTTTTATTTCCATGCCTTTGTGATTGGTCTTCTACACAGCTTCTGGCAATCTCATTGGATGTCTACAGTCGAAGGGGTTGACCTGTCTATGAATGATCTGATGTGATTGGAAGACTACGGTCAACTTCCTTGAAGCTGATTGTCTGT